GCGGGCGTCGGGCGGACCGGTTGCTTCATCGTCATCGACTCGATGCTCGAGAGGATCAAACACGAAAAGATGATCGACATATACGGCCACGTAACTTGTTTACGCGCTCAAAGGAACTACATGGTCCAAACCGAGGACCAGTACATATTTATCCACGACGCGCTTTACGAGGCCGTGATTTGCGGCAACACCGAGGTACCTGCTAGAAACTTGCACTCCCATATCCAGAAATTGATGCAACCCGAGATCGAGAGTATCACGGGCATGGAGTTGGAGTTCAAGAAATTGTCCAACATCAAAGTGGACTCGTCCCGGTTCATCTCGGCCAATCTTCCCTGCAACAAACACAAAAATCGATTGGTACACATTCTGCCGTACGAGTGCACCAGAGTTTGCTTGCAACCGCAACGGAACATCGAAGGATCCGATTACATAAACGCCAGCCTGATCGACGGGTATCGGTACCGAGGCGCCTACATAGCCACTCAGGGACCCCTTTGCGACACGACCGACGATTTTTGGCGAATGCTCTGGGAGCACAATTCCACCATAGTTGTCATGTTGACGAAATTGAAGGAGATGGGGAGGGAGAAGTGCCATCAATATTGGCCGTCGGACAGGTCGATTCGTTATCAATGCTTCGTCGTCGACCCGATCGCCGAGTACAACATGCCCCAGTACATCCTCCGAGAGTTCAAGGTGACGGACGCGCGAGACGGGGCGAGCCGTACCGTCAGACAGTTCCAGTTCATCGATTGGCCCGAGCAGGGTGTCCCGAAGTCCGGGGACGGGTTCATCGACTTCATCGGACAAGTGCACAAAACGAAGGAACAGTTCGGCCAGGACGGCCCGATCACCGTGCATTGCAGCGCTGGCGTTGGGAGAACCGGCGTTTTCATCACTCTCAGCATCGTGTTGGAACGCATGCAGTACGAAGGGGTGGTCGATATTTTCCAAACAGTGAGAATATTGCGCACGCAACGACCAGCCATGGTTCAAACCGAGGTCTGTTCGAGCCAATCCATCGTTTTCTATTCATTTTCTATCGTCTAAGAAAAAAAGAAACTCTTTATATTACGTATATACGTGTACGTGTATATATATATATATTATATGTGTGTATTATTTTCGCAGGACCAATATCAATTCTGTTATCGCGCCAGTTTGGAATATTTGGGTTCTTTCGATCATTACGCCAACTGACAACCCGATACTCGCGAGGAAAGGGAATCGACGAGGGACAGAAGAGATCGGCAAAGGAACGAGAGAGACGGTGAACGGGCAAAAGTGCGCCGCGTTTAATTAACGATTGATTAAAATACTTGAGAAAAAGTATGTAAGTTTGTAAGTATATAAAGCCTGTACCATGTTCCCACGGGCAAAACGTACTATACGTAGTACCTTCCGATGACAAATACAAGTAGTAGAAAGGCGATAAATTATTAATCTGTCGAGCAACTAACAACGTAGTAACCAAATATCTTATAGTCAATGGTGTCGCAACAATCTCGAGATACGCGGAAACGTTTCGCTTTTATATCGGCGCGGTATCGTGCTAATACCACGATTTACCAAAATTTCAAAAATTCCCAAATAAGAGAAGAAAAAGAGAAGAAAAGCCGTTTGGAATTATAAACGGCATGGAATCAAATATTTGTATTGAAAAAACAATCATATTTGTAGAGATAATCCTCGCAACAAATTATTTTAACACCGATTTTATGGTTGGAAAAAATGAAATAATACACACTCGCAAAGTAACTTACATACGTAAGTACTTGTTTGTATACACCGTAAACGTACGCGTAAACATTAATATTAACATAAATATTCCCGAATCGATAGAAATCGAAGAAAAATCGGACGAAGAATTTGATTGGAAAAAAATTCGGAAAAAATCGTGATTGAAAGTTCGATCGATTAAAACATATCCAAACTTCGGAAGAGATTTCGAAAGATAATTAAACATCTCTCGCGCGAGATCTCTCGAAACATTTCACATTTACGCATTTGCTTTTAAACGAGACTAACGATAAGAATAAGCGAGAGACAAACCGACGAGCATTATTATTTTATTACGATCGTGCGTTTTACTCCCGATCACCGTTCACGGTATTTCGTTCTACGTAGTTGAAAACAGTTGAAACTTTCTTGTTCGTTTCGGAGAAGAGACAAGTGCTTCCATATTACTGGGAATGAAAAATTTTAAAAAGGAATTACTCTAATAAGCAACTACGAAGGCGTATTAACGCGTTCGATCGCGCGAACGAAAAAGAAGCTGAGAAGAAAGCATGCGTGGCACGTTCCAAAAGTACTTATGGATGCGACACAAAACATATCGAGAAAAATCTGGAAGAAATAGCGAAAATATTGGTACATAATGAGGAAAGATAAATTTCTCAATGAGACGTAAATTTCCGCCGAGCTACGAGAAAATTACCATACTGCCAAATCGACAATTATTCATGCTGAATCCATTACGCACGATAGGGATCTTCTCATTACCTATTATAATTTTAAGTAATATCGTAAGGCGATTGTTCTAAGATTAGTTTGTAAGCGATGCCATTAGAAAAAAAGGAGAAAAAAAAAAAAATAATGCGAGTGTATCGAATGAAGCAAGTATGAAAGGAAATGAAAGGAAACGGTGCCTATATTCGATTAAAATGCACAAAAGATATTGTGCAGGTTTCTACGCGAACTAATTTAATTAACTAGAAGCACTGTATGTCGGATTTGCGTATCCATATTCCATCGAACCCTCGATACCCCTTGTGTACAAATCTCCATTTTAGGCTTCTACATTCGCCTATTTTTTTTACAATTTTCCCGGCTGTTAAACTATCCAAACACGCAATTTTTCCAAAAATCTGAATTGTTCTTAACTCGGTTCTCGATCAAAACCGAATCTACTCGCTAAATCCTGATATAAATTACACTCGTTTCTGATATAAAAAAAAAAAAAAAATCGCATTGCGTTGTTGTAAAATCTAAGAAAAATCAACGAAACTTCGTATACACGTGTACATGTACGTTGGATCATCATCCCCGGCACGGACAACGCGCCAAATCAATGCCAAAAACAGTTGTTAATTGTGCATCGTGATCGATCCTATGCTTCGTAATCCTTTTTCACAACGATACGAATTTTCAAGATATATATATATATACTATTTGCGATTCAAAGATTTACAAATGAATAGTCTATGAGGACAATAAACATGTATTTGTTTATATACTTTCTATATTTCGAAATTTCTCATGATATCGTTCGGCTGAATAGAAATCGTTCTATCGCTGTTCGATAATGGTAGAGCAAAAAAAATTCTATTTATAAAAATATAGAATACATGTGTGTGTGTTTGCACGAATACCGTAACGAATAATTATACTCATAGGAACGAATGAGATCTCTTTTCGTTTTTGGCATTTTTTTGGCTTCAATCCTGTTTCTCTGTAATACGATAATTTCTGGACCTTGTTGTTGTTTTGTTGCATATTAGAATTTAACGAGCGAAACAACAAAAAAAAAAAACAAATGAAAAAAGAAAGAGGAAAAAAAGAACGAGGAAAGAAAAGAAATCTTCATACAATTTACATTCAATTATTTAGATAATTTTCAATTAGAAAATTTCATAACGTTTTAATAATCGAGCATTCAACGTATATATTTTATGTTAAAAGTGGTTCTCGAGGGTCAGGAATTGTGACTAATGTGTACATAAATGCACCGTTTGTCATTAATAACATTATATAAATATAAATATAAATATAACTATAAATATGAATATAAATATAAATATACATAAGTAAAATGATAAATAATATATACATAGATATATATTATAAATATCATAATTGAAGAGAGTACGCATTTAAAAAAAAGCTGTGGATATTTTCTAGACTGTCAAGATCAACTTTTCTTTTTTCCTCATCGTTATTACAATACTTTTCAATACTTTTAACGCATTTTACTTTTGATACTGTTTTTAGTTTTGATACTGTTTTTCATCATATTGTT